TGTAAAACATGTTCATTATTAATCCCCAGGGATTAATATAGTTTTATTAATTGTATTAATTAATTAAGCTCTATCATAAAAGCTGCTTAAATGTCTTAGTTTAACTAAGACGGATTATGGACTGGCTTATTCTAAGGCCCGTCTGTGAAACCGGCCCTTAATATACAGTTCCTAAAAAAAAAATATTTTTGCATGTAAATACATGAGGAAAAAGCTGCTTTAAAAATGTTTTAGAGTAGTGTTAAAAAAACAAAATCATATGCTATGAGCCAGACTCTTCCAATATCAACTGATGTTTGTACAACTTTTAAAAAAAATTTTTTTTTTTTAAATTTTCCAGGACCCACATGCACGACTTGAAGGATGTGACAAACAACGTTCACTATGAAAACTACCGCAGCAAGAACCTCGCTGCTGTCAGCTGTAACGGAGTTGATAACAATAGGAGCAAGGGACAGCTTACAAAGTGAGTGTTTGAACTTCACACAATACTGTACATGTTCTTCTTCTGAAGAACTGAGTGAGTACAATGACCTGCCGTTAATGTCATCCTTGTTTATTCAATGCCCCGTGAGCTCTTTATTTTCTTAGCAGCTGAGAAGGAAATGTAAACTTTGGAGCTCACGGTTCACAGCAGGTTACCTACAAAAAAAAGAAAAAATTTAAAACAAGCAGTTTTGCTAATCGGCTCATATAGTTTTTTTTTTTTTTTAACTCACACAGCAACGCTATAATCTCACCCACTAATAAACCTCCAGTGTCACTTGCGACTAACGTAACCACCAGACGCCTAACCCACTGGCTGCAGCTGTTTGTTTTCAGCAGCTACTGCACGGTTAATGGCGACGAGCTAAGCGTATGTACATCTGTTTGTTTTTAGACCTGAAACAACTGATGGCATGTAAGTGTGATTCCCTTTTCTTTGTATCCTCTCTGAACACTCTTTTGTCTTTGCTTCCTTCTCCTGGCCATTTTCATTATTTAATGAATTAGTTACTTCAACAAAATGACATACTCAAATATTTTTTTTGGGTTGTCATGGTATGGTAAAAATTAGGGATGCACCGAAATTCAAATTCTTGGCCGACACCGAAAAACTGAGGAAACCAAGGCCCAAAACCGAAACACCGGAAGAAATGAACTGCAAATGCATAAATGAATATGTTTCAAAGATTACAAAATGATGACAATGTTTATTTTGCACATTTCAACAATACACAATAAATGCTGGCCTGCTGAAAGATTAAATGTAAAATTAAATATGTCCTCTCATAAAAACACAAAGTGCATTTAGGTCAGTTACTATATCATTTTTCGTGCGCGCTGCTTTATTCCCGCATCCAAGTAATGATCTTTTTGTCGGTTCTCAGTCATCCAGGTCATCTTGTCCAAAACTTGTTACATCGAGTGCAAACGGAGGGAGTAGGGTTCTTGAAGACGTTTCACCTCTCGTCCAAGAGGCTCCTTTTCAGTTCTGAAGTTCTTCAAAAACATCTTCAAGAAACCTAATCCGCCCGGTTACCCTCGATGTAACTATTTTTTAGATCTTTACAACGCGAATCAAGCACAGTCGCGACAAAGTGCAGAGGATTCGAAAAAGATCTCGGTGAATAGACTCCATGAGTGGACTTTTCATTATTTTCACGGCCGTGGTCCGTCTCAACTTCTTCGCTTAGGAGACGCTTTAGCGCTGCGATTAAAGGAATAAAATCTGCTATAGGTGCGTCAGAGAAACTGATTTAGTTAGCTGCTCAAACCCGGGCAAGAAGAGAGAGAATGATCTCTATTATAAGACTCTATTAATAAATTAAACCTGACGTAGAGAAAATCTTTTGCAGATGCGTCCATTCTTAAAATTTCAGTATTACACATTTTGCAAATCGCTATCTGCGAGTCTTTCTCAGATACATCGAATTTTGTCACAACGCAGACGAGTGGCGGTGGTTTTTGCTTGCGTCATCGTAACTTCCTGTTTTGGCCGTTTTTGTTTTTCGGTGATGGAAGTCTTTTGGCCGAAAACCAAAAATGCACTCACGGGCCATTATCGGCCAAAAATGTTCTGGTGGCCGAATAGTCGGTGCATCCCTAGTGAATAATTAAAGCCACGAAATGATCATTTGCTTAATGGCAAAGCTTTGCTGGTTCATGACACACCTTGGTACATATCCCTGCAAAAAAACGTTTTACAATGCTACTAATTGCTACTTGATACATGCCCACTTATTGTTTACGAACTGTCACCATGATGTCAAGAAACCATTTTTTTTTTTTTTAAAGCTGCAGCATTATCACATAAAGTCCTGAAAAAATAGCTCTACCCTTTCCATATCATTAGGTTAGATATATACTTCCAAGACTCATTAGAAATCATTTTAGTGACGATGGCCTTCGTGTGGCTTCTCTACTAAGGTGATCAATTCCCTGCGTACGTTTGGTGGACGTGTTAAAACAACTACCTACGGTTTATCTTTGTATTATTATTATTAGTCACGACAGCTGCTGCTAGCTTCTTTTTTTTCAAATCAAAAATATGCTTGAAACCTGTTAGATGCTTGTTTAAATTGTTTAGTTTGGTGTGATGGAGATGTAAATTAACAAGAATCTAGGTATAAGATACAAATCACGATACAAGGGGCTACAATGCGATATATATTGCAGTATACTGCAATACTATAGGCATGACGAGAAGGGAAAAAAAGCAATATGAAAAAGAACCAACAGCACGACTATTTGCATGTTGTTAAAAAATTTGACTCGGCACATCGTGGGCATATCGTTATTTTCTTACACCCCTAGTGTTATGGCACAGTATGTCCAATAATATAACCACAAAATTATTTTTTTTAAATACAGGGGTCCCTCGGTTTACGACATCGTCGACCTACAGTGTTTCGTGGTTAGTCGCCATCTACCGTAAATGTATTAAGAAAGTCTTGTTCCGTCAGTCGCCATCTACCATAAATGTATTAAGAAAGTCTTGTTCCGTTATTCCGACGTGGTGTCAAAACTCGCCAACTAGTTTTCGTGTTAGATACCCAAAAGAGTTGGCGGGTATGACAGGCTATACGCTGGCACGTGGCACTGCGGTATATGTAGACGACAGCTTTCTTTACATTTGCTAGTTGTACGTCATACATAGGACTTTGCTACATTCGCTTTTTTTTTTCTCGTTTGTATTGTTTTTCTGCGAACTTTGTGCCCTATAAGTGTGACTCCCAAGCGTAAGTCAGACTTTACTGTTGTTTTTATGTCCTTGATTATGACGTTACCACTGTGTTAGTATAGCCGAGTGACATAGCTGCTTATGTACAGTATGCGAGTTCCGACTTACGGCGAAAATCAGGTAATGTTGCGCTGTAGGAACGGAACCCCGATGTAAGTTGAGGACACCTGTTTTCCCCACTGCGCCACATGGTGGTGGGTGTGACATATGTGATATATGGCATGTTCCACTCTGTGCCTATGGGTTTGTGATGGCGCCTACAGCGAAAAAAAAACGATGTATGTCCTGCTGTCGTAAGTCGAGGACCCCCTGTGTTGGATTTTATTTTATGACAGAGAAAACCGTAGGGTCATTTTTCAGATTTCTTACTGTAAATATTCTTGTTTTGTTCTCTAAACCTAATACACAAGCTTTTATTTGTCAGAGAGTTGGGTGCACAGGGACTTTTTTTTTATTTAGTACTTCATTGAGAGGTACTAAATAAATAAAAGAGAGAAACTGTGACTGTGAGTGCAGTTTGTGGGAAATGTTTTAAAATAACTTTTTGCACTGCAGAACACATTACTCTTTTATATGCCGTCAGTCCAAGGAAATCGGCAAAACTGGCAAAAATTGACATTGACAAGCCACATTTACCACAAAGAAAAAATCAGGAATCTCAATTGACCAAAAAATATTTATGATTATCCTTAAATCTCTCAGTTCTGACAGTGAGGTACTGTTCATCAGATTACTTTTTCGTTTTCCTATAACTGACATTTTTCCAACTTCCTTTCATCCTCAAGCTGCAACATTCGCTGGAAGCTGTCGTTGACTGTTTTCAGCGAATGTTGGCAAAACTGTGGCTCTCTTCGCTGCCTGTTGATGTTTTTGTTGCTTGAATCTCTTTTTGGTCTCCCACATGCACCCATGCCCCTCACCCTTTGGTTTTGAACTTGTTTTGAACAATGTTTCGGGTCCTTAGGAGTCCTCTCGACCAGATGGAGGAGGAGCGACGGGAGCATGTCGCCAAGATGATGAAAATGGAGCAAGAAATGGAACAGGTGTTTGAGATGAAGGTCAAAGAGAAGCTCCAAAAGCTGAAGGACTCAGAGATGGAGGTCAGTGCACAACCACTAATGTAATAAAAATAGGAGTTGGTATGTGGTTTAATTACCCCATTATTACTTATTTAATATCATCTTTAAAAAAAATCACACACACACACTCTACTGAATTTAATCTGTCCTTCAACACAAGGGGCTTGCGTCGATTCAGAAAATAGATGTTAAATCAATACGGAAGTGGGTAGAAAACAACCGCAATGTATTAGTGAATCGATATTTTTACCCAACGCTAACCGCTGCGCTGCTTTGTTCGTTGTGCGCTGTCATTATGTGCAGCTTCAGAGACGTCATGAGCAAATGAAAAAGAACCTGGAGGCGCTGCACAAGGAACTGGAAGAAAAACGTCGTCAACAGGAAGAGGAAAAGGCCAGCTGGGAGGCTCAGCAGAGAATTCTAGAGCAGCAGAAACTAGAGGCCTCAAGGTAATCATAACAGCACGGGTGACCATCGATTAACGACTTGTAGAAATCTCCGGAGCCCTGGCGTTATACACTTGGAACTTTCAGAGACATATGGAGTGAAATGAATCATAAAAGAATACGCGATAATCGTCAGCATAGGTTATAACGTTAGCTTTGGGATTTGGAAATTGGTGATCGTCACATGGTAAACTTCAAAATTTCAGAAACTTAAACAGCATTTCGCCTCATGGCCAGACCTAAGATTGTACCTAGCATTAAATGAAGTACTGACTGACACAAACGGTGAAAATATGCTAACCTCTATCTCTTTGTTGTATTCCTATATTTCCAGGACTTTGGAAAAGAACAAGAAGAAGAAAATATTTTAATATTTACGGGTGGCCCACCTGATGTAACTTTGTGTTTTTTTGTTTTTTTTTTTGCTTTGTTTTGTTTTTGTTTCTCAATTTTTTGCCAGCCTTGTCAAATCATTGGCCAATAAACCTCACTTGTTTCTAAAAAAAAGTCTGACCATATAACTGTGAAACAATCAAAGTTAACTTCCGTGGTTTTGTATAAACTCTGAATTTGCTTCTCATTTTAAAAATGTTAATCTTCCTAATTCGGGGCTTGTGGTTTGGAAAACGATTGTATTCCCCTTACTTCCTTGACTTGTGACTCATAACCCCTTTATATACCAAAAACAAACCAAAGATGTTAGGCAGCAGTTTGTGTGTGTGTGTGTGTGTGCGTGTTTGTTTCCTCACTTTTTTATTATTGGCGCTTCTATCATCTGTAATATAAACCATATAATCGTGAATGTGCAGTGTTTTTCTTCAACTATTGTTTTTTTTTTTTTTTTTTTTAACTTTTGTATTAGGCCTCTACCCCAAACCTGGGTTCCTTAACTATACTGTAAAAGCTTCATGCAAAGTACAAAGTCCTCTGTACTATGTAGTGTGTGCACACTCACCATCGTCAGTGTCATCAGATTGTGGAAAGACTGTGTGGAATATTGGTAGAAGTGAGAGCTGAAGCTGAGCACTTGTCACTCAAACGGGTGTCAATGACGTAACTGGTAACAGCGGCGGCTCGCGCTACATCAAAATTTAGCACTGTGTGTTTAACTGCATCTGTATTTTTGTAATGTTTTGTAATGGTTTTTATTATTCAAAGTCACACAATAAAATTGTGATGCGAAAAAAATACAAGCTTTTCTTAAAAATGGAAGAAGTAGATAGAGAGGAAAAAGTAGGACCAATACCGAAAATCTGTACGAACCACTGTATGAGTATGAGATTAGATCAATGGGCTGCAATGCTGCCATCTAGTGACTTTCACTTTAATATACAGCAGTTTATCCGCAAAACTATTTTTAAGACACATCATTTGGCGTTACCCATTGCGTTAAAGGGTTTTCATTAACGGAGGAAACCCCGATAATGATTCTTACAGATATTATGTAATATTTTTATGTAATATCTGCAGGGATCATTACGTAATATTTTATCAGTGAACCCACAACATCTATGTGAATTACTGTCATATTTCTATTTTTTTTTTTTTACAGAATATACAAACGTTTATTATACACACATTTTAATTCTATCTTTCTAATAAAGTAAATAAAAATAGAAAAATCATACAAATCATGTTGCTATTAAACTAATTCCTTTTTTTTTTTTTTTTTTTTTTTTTTTTTTTTTTCCTGAGGGATCCCCCCTTTTTTTTCCCCGGCTTTTTTTAACAAACAAAACCAGGGCCCTTTGCACTTTCATCTGTGGAACAGAAAACACACAGTGCTCACCTAAAGCATCACGCCATCTCTCTTCCAACCAGCAGTTATTCTGTTCTTCATTTGTTTTTGCTGATTGGACGAACATGTACTCAGCTCACCAATGTGAAAACACAGCTCAGCCAATGGCACTGGTTTATATCAAAGTCTGATTTTGACTCTCCCTCCTTTGTTGCATTCACCCTTTACTGTTATATATTGAACTGTATTAGGCACGGATGTCCAATATTAACTTCTTGCCGATACACAATATGCAGACATTGTCCAAACATTCCGTAATTAACGAGGATAAAGTAATTGACAATTCCGGTATATAACCGACACCGATATATGCAGCCGTTTGTCCCCAAAACTGAGGTAAACGCAGAACCGTAAAAGCGATTCCAGCATATTTAGCAAAACCCAGGCATTGCGTTATGGGGTTTTCATTATCGGAGACAGACAGTAGGATGATCAGACACACAGTCAGTCAAACAGACAGAAAGATGACTATATTATATCTAGTGAAGAGTTCGCACACACCACACTTCCTTGTGAATCCTTGGTCTACGTTCATGGAATTTGAAAAAACTGAGGTAAACGCAGAACCCTAAAAGCGATTCCAGCATATTTAGCAAAACCCAGGCATTGCGTTATGGGGTTTTCATTATCGGAGACAGACAGTTAGATGGTCAGACACACAGACAGTCGGACAGACAGAAAGATAACTATATTATATCTAGTGACAGTTCGCACACACCACACTTCCTTGTGGATCCTTGGTCTACGTTCATGGAATTTGAGCACGGAGACTTTAAGTGTTTAGTTTCCACGTTGCGGTACTTTGATGCTGAAACCTCAGTACCTACTGTCAACAAGGATTGCTCTGGGTTTTTTTTTTTTTTTTTTTTTTTTTTTTCCAGTTTCCCAAAGGTTTTTGTCCACTAGCATTTTCAGCGTTATTGTCAGTCAGACAGACAGACAGTCAGACAGACAGATAATTAGTCAGAAAGACAGACAGTCAGACAGTCAGACAGACAGATAATTAGTCAGAAAGACAGACAGTCAGATGGACAGACAGACAGATAATTAGTCAGAAAGACAGTCAACAGAAATATAGACAGTTAGATAGTCAGTCAGATAGTCAGTCAGTCAGACAGGCAGGCAGTCAGATAGTCAGTAAGACAGACAGACAGATAATTAATCAGAAAGACAGTCAACAGAAATATAGACAGTTAGATAGGCAGACAGACAGTCAGGCAGGCAGTCAGTCAGATAGTCAGTCAGACAGACAGACAGATAATTAGTCAGAAATACAGTCAACAGAAAGATAGACAGTTAGATAGTCAGACAGTCAGTCAGATAGTCAATCAGACAGACAGACAGATAATTAGTCAGAAAGACAGTCAACAGAAATATAGACAGTTAGATAGGCAGACAGACAGTCAGGCAGGCAGTCAGTCAGATAGTCAGTCAGACAGACAGACAGATAATTAGTCAGAAATACAGTCAACAGAAAGATAGACAGTTAGATAGTCAGACAGTCAGTCAGATAGTCAGTCAGACAGACAGACAGATAATTAGTCAGAAAGACAGTCAACAGAAATATAGACAGATAGGCAGACAGAGAGTCAGACAGTCAGATAGTCAGTCAGACAGACAGTTAGATGGTCAGACTGACAGTCAGTCAGACAGACAGGCAGTCAGTCAAACAGACAGACAAACAGTTAGATGGTCAGACAGATAGTCAGTCAGACAGTTAGAAAGTTAGACAGACAGTCAGTCAGAAAGACAGACAGACGGTTATATAGTCAGACAGACAGATAGTCAGAAAGACAGTCAGACAGGCAGGCAGTCAGATAGTCAGTCAGACAGACAGTTAGATGGTCAGACTGACAGTCAGTCAGACAGACAGGCAGTCAGTCAAACAGACAGACAAACAGTTAGATGGTCAGACAGATAGTCAGTCAGACAGTTAGAAAGTTAGACAGACAGTCAGTCAGAAAGACAGACAGACGGTTATATAGTCAGACAGACAGATAGTCAGAAAGACAGTCAGTCAGACAGACAGTTAGATAGTCAGACATGCAGTCAGTCAAACAGTCAGTCAGATAGTCAGTCAGACAGATAATCAGTCAGTCAGAGAGACAGGCAGTTAAATAGTCAGACAGACAGTCAGTCAGACAGTCAGTCAGACAGACAGACAGATAACTGTCACACTGCATAATGAAATGCATTTATCTCTAGCACAAATGCTACTAAAAACGTACTTTAGAAAATGCCATTAATAATGGTTTCATTCTAAAATGCAGTAAATAACCAATTCAAAATATTTCAAAGTTTATATCTATTAGTGTTGAGTCAGGTTTGGTCTTAGCGGTCGAAGCAATGACCCAAATAAAATGGCTGTGCAATCCCATGTTTGCTTGCGTGTCCCATTGGGCAGATAAGATTGAAAAGCACTTTGCTCTCCAATACACTGGCGTATATCTGTCACAGGGTAGACTACAACCTTTATTTATAGTAAAAAAGTAAGAGTAAAATAAATCAACAAAAACAACAAAAAATACATTAACACTACGGTAAATTATCATGGTACCGCAATTACACAGAAGTTGAATCTGTTGTTAGTTTGCCCTGCCGTGACAGAAATGTTTTCCCGCCCCTTCCCTCCTCCGACGCACACCCCCGCGAATTGAAATACATTTGATAGCCTGATAACCTGATAACAAGTATATTTTTATCCGTACAAACCACTGTACGAGTTGCTGCCAAATAGTGACTGGAGGCTTGTTATCATTCAAGCATTACAGCGGTGGTACACTTATGTCTAGCATGCCATATTCTATTGGAAGACCTCTCCCCCAATATTTGCGAAGTACTGCCATAATTTAGTAGAAGTACTGCAAGTTTTTAACTGGGAATCAAAACGTGCACACAAACTGGGGATCGAACTTAATGGCAAAGTAGACAAAAACAAAACACATTTCACAATTATTCAGTACGGTCACGACATTTTTAATATATTTTTTTGTGGCACTGCCCTCTTTTTGGAAAGGACTTGCATTTCTTTTATCCCCTAAATCAACCTTAATCTATTTATTATTGAATCAGTGTAAATGAGGTTGACACGATAAGACTTTTATGCACACAGGCACAGAGAGAGAGAGAGAGGGGGCGGGGGAGAGGGAGAGAGGGAGAGAGTGGCAGAGGGACAGAGAACGAGAGAGAGAGTGGCAGAGAACGAGAGAGAGAGGGAGAGAGAGGGCTAGAGAGCTACTTCAGTTGCATACGCCGCAGCTGGAAACACTCTCGGGCTAGGCTAGCTTCGCTTCGTATCTGCGACTCTGACCGAGCTGCTGCTCTGCGTCGTGTCCGACTACTCTCATTTCCGTTTGTGATGTGTTTTCAAAGAAATACTACTTCCAGTGTCATTCCTCCGCGTCTCTTCCTCTTCTGCCTCCCTGGCGGTGCGTTAGCTCACCGAGTCCCCGGCGACGCGCCACAACCATGGGCGGCAGCCTAGGGTGCCACCGCTCCATTCCGAAGGACCCCACCGACATCAGCTGCGGGAAGCGAAAATTCAGCGCCGCCTGTAACTTCGGTCACATCCTCGTGTACCAGGAGCGGCTCAACATCAACACGGCAACCGAGGAGGAGCTCATGACTCTGCCGGGAGTGAATCGCGCCGTGGCGCAGAACATTGTCGAATACCGGGACTGTATCGGCGGGTTTAAGAAAGTGGAGGACCTAGCTCTGGTGAGCGGCATCGGCGCCACCAAACTGGAGGCGATCAAGCTGGAAATCTGCGTGTCCAGCAGGACCAGTTCGTCCCAGCACTCCCCGTCCTCTCTGCGCAGAGACCTAGAACAGCAAGGCTGCACCACCGGCATCAACATTAACAGCGCCACACCAGCGCAGCTGATGAGCATCCGAGGCGTCACTGAGAAGATCGCCAAGAACATCGTGGCGTACCGCGCGGAGAACGGCCCTTTCAAGAGCATCGAAGACCTGGTGAGGGTCAACCACATCAACAGCTCCCTGCTGGACAAGATCCGCTTCCAGGTGTTCGTGGAACGCTCCAGGGCGCCGTCCACCAACACGAACGCAGGGCTGACCTGCTCCAATAAGTCTCACCCGAGTCCGACGTCGCTCAGTTTCAGGAGCGACGACTTGGACCTCCCGTCGGGAGGACCGACCCAGATCGGGTCCGTGCGGCCCAGCGTGGAGCCTCCGCCCGGGCTGCGGGATGGGAAGCCCGTGGTACGCATTGCGACTTGGAGTCTGCAGGGCTGTTCCTGTGACAAGGCCAGCAACCCGGGGGTCAAAGAGGTGGTTTGCATGACCCTGCTGGAGAACGAGTAAGTAGTAACTCACACTTTCACTTTAGTGTGCTTTAGGGAATGCGTAGATATTTTTGAAATGCTGTATATCAAAACAAACAAAGTTTTTGTTAAGGGATGTCGATAATCGTACCTGTATATCAAAACAAACAAAGTTTTGTTAAGGGATGTCGATAATCGTACCGTACAATCTCATTTATATCGGTTGGACAAATTTAAATTTTTAAATTTAGTTTGGTGGATGAAAACACTCAGTTCAATCAAATGTATATAAATAATATATATATAATAAATCTATTAATATAATAAATGTTACTGACAATAACGATGACAAAAGCAGCCCATAGAACAGGCATAGGCAAACTAAGGCCTGCGGGCCAGAAACGGCCGGTTCAGCTTTTTAATCCGGCCCACCAAACTTTATTTACTTTATTTATACCTTTTCCCTGCAATACCCACGTTTCCCCAATAGATGGCGTAGCATTTTAGCCTTCATGCATGACTTTCACACGTCATTTAGTTCACACGAACGCTCCATCCATCTGCTCCTGACCCGCCCCCCCCTTTCAATTTTAGGACAATTGTGGCCCTAAGCCTGCCATAGAACCTACATTTATAACGCGAGTATTTCAATAATACACAAGTATATCTTTGCCCGTACAGTAGTTATAGCGCAAGATACTCTACAGAGCATTACTTCTAATCTTAAGTAAACAAAAAAATGGGAGCCTGGGTGTTTTTGAAGGCACGTGGGAAAACAACGTTTAGTCTGTTTACTCACTCTGCGTATGACTGCTGACTGGAGCGGTTTTGCGTTTGGCAAGATCATCTCAGATGTAGAAGAGCGACCTACTTGCCAGGGAATGTAAAGGAGGCTGGGGTAACGACAGGGCATATTCACAGTAGCCACTGCTAGGACAGAAACTCTCCTTAAATGCCTGCAGGCTGCCGGTAAATTTAACATAATCTGCTAATAATGTGCCGAAAATACACCAAAGTGCCCTAAAGTATGTAGCAATGTGTATAATTTGTACCAAATTTACCGAAAAATTTGACACAAAACGACCCCCACCGTTATGACCTTCTCGAAAAACGTGACCAAAAAATCTGGCGCAACTTTACTTCACCTCTATAGTAAATAGCAAAATTATCAAAGATACACCGACCCTGAGGTATTTTTTTGCGAGAATAGCCGTACCGTACCATAAGTCGGAAGTCATTGTTCTGCTGCGGTATAAAAATAGTCTATAAAACAGTGTTTACCTCAATTAGTATTGCATAATGGATAAATATTTCTTCGCAATTCTTTGCATTCAATTTTGACCCAACTCTACATGCAGAAATGCAGCCCCAGAATTGCAAGGAGCCTCCACCATGCATCGCTGTTGTTTGCAGTCAGTCATTGTTGTGGTAAAACTAGCGATGAACCGGGGAAAAAAAAAAATTCTTAGCCGATTATTAGTGAACTAAACCGCAATAAAATCAAGGCACTGTGATTGCATAAATAAATAATAAATTAATGATTGTCAAAATATCAAAATATGTTTAGTGGGGAGTGCACTTTTTGCGCACTTCTCCGTCTCCGAGCGGGTTCTCCACATTCGATCGCGGCCCGGTTCATTTCTCGTGCGTGATGACCTTTACTATCGCGACCCAAGTACGGTCGCAACGAGTGCAGGAGATCGGAAAAGATCTCCGGTGAAACGTGTGCTGACAGACTCTATGAGTGTAACTTTTTGCGAAATTTCAGCGTTACACGTTTTGCGTATCGCTATCCGTCGGGTCTTTCTCGGACATATTGAAATACATCCACACCGCAGACATGTTGGTGCTTATGGCAAGCCGTTTTTTTAACATTTAAACACCAAGCTGGTAGTTTTGCCTAGTCAAAAAGAAGATTTCCGGACATCCGACAAGCCCACGCTGGCTGCGTTTTTTTTAGCTTGCGTCATCATAACTTCCTGTTTCAGCCGTGTTGCTGTGGGTATTGAAATTTCGGTGCATCCCTAAGTAAAAAAAATGTTCCTTCTATGACCCGATATTTTGGACCCGATATTCCGAAATTTGAAATAAAGGAAGGATCGCAACTAAAACCCGTGTCCCCGTGATGCAATAAAAATAATACCCCCCCCAAGTCTCAACACCCGCACAACGTCTTTCTCTACTCATGCGTCCGACATGCATCTGCGTTTCAGTTCTCAGTGCGGTACCAGCAACCGAGGCCCGGGTATTGTTGTCGTTGAAGAGACAGGGTGTGTTTGCACAACTCGGGCTTGGTTTGTGTAAGAGCTAACACAAGATCCAGCACGAGTTACCACACTGCCCTGGCCGTCCTCCAGGCACAGGCAGAGGGATTTCAGAGTTCAATGAACTCTTTTGCTTACCAAAGGCAAAACAGCCTACTGTACTCAGTCGCTGCAGCCTCACATGCCTGCTGTTGTTGTGAGTCATAACACAACTGTTTGTCAAGCCTTCCCGCTCGGCGCTTGAGGAAAAGTTAAAGAGCTGCTTTCGTCCTATATGGATATATTTATATATAAATATATGTCTATATATGTAACATTTGAGCGAAAATGTTATGCCCAATTCGTGACGTTACCCTTCGATTTGTCCCCTGGGGGGAGAACAGTTTACAGCGGAAGTGTTTGTTTCTGCTCCATCTTGTTTGTTTCGCCGTCGAGATAATACGGTGGGGCTTTGCGATACGAGTTTAATCGGTTCCACAGCGGCACTCGTATATGTCGGTCCGCTCGTATCTCGATTGCATTTTCCCCCGTTAAGAATAACTGTAAACCAATTCATTCGTTCCAGCCCCCCCAGAAATATACTATTAATTAATTCAATTCAAATTGTAAATAAAAAAAAAAAATGTAGATACAAACAACTATATTGCTAATATAAAATAATTGTTATAAAAATGGGTAAAATAACCCAGCAAGGGACAGAGCTCGGTTGAGCACTCGTAACTCGATGTTCCCCTCGTATCACAAGGACAACCTTGCAAAAAAGTTGCTTACTCGTAACTTGGAAAACCCGTATTTCGGGTAGCTCGTATCTCAAAGCCTAAATACTGGCCAAAGTGGAAGTGCTTTATCTTGTTTCTAATTTTGTTTTTTGGTGCAGAATTCCTCTTTTGTAGACCGATAAGGAGGAACACAGAGATTCGCAGAATCAATCAGAGTAGTCACAAAGGTCAGAATGCTTATCTGGAGTCCGTAAAGCAGGATGTCTTTATACAGTACATACGTCACGCATACAGTATAACAGCGTTGATCACATCAACCACCTAGACAGACATGAACCTGGCGAACTTTAAACATCAAGGTTACTGTCTATCGCCACTACGTTAAGAGGAGGCCTGTTCCTGCAGGCGGACTCTGACCTTGGTGACGGGGCTGTTGATTATTGGTTTGCATGTTGATTTAAAGCAGCGGTTCATAATAATTATTATCTGTCATGCGCCCCCTTGGGGACAGAAATGTTTTCACATTTCACGCTCTCTTCCTACCCACACCCCTGGGAATTGTAACACTATTGAGAACCTGATAACAAGTATATTTTTATCTGTACAAACCACTGTATGAGTTGCTGCCACCTAGTGACTGGAGGCTTGTTGTGATTCAAACATTGCAGCAGTGGTACACTTATCCAGCGTGCCATAATCCGTGGCAAGCGCTTGGCCTTAAATTTCTTAGCTAGTGCTTCAACACTTTATCTGTACTGCAGCTTGCCTTTCTGGATCGGAGAGTGGACTGAGAGTTCTCGGATTTCTCTCAATTTTTTTTCGATGGCTTCCAGTGTCGTGACTGCGATGCTGCTGGCCGGAGCAGATAGATCGAGAAGATAAATGACACGTAAAAAGTCATGCGGAAAGGCTAAAATGCTTTAATCGTTTTCTACGCCATCTATTGGGGAAACACGGGTATTGCAGGGGAGAGGCAGTTGTATGAGCAGAAGTTTATTAATAATAATAATAATCAATAAATGATATAATTTGGGAAAAGTGTTGGCAGGCCGGATTAAAAAGCTGAACGGGCTGTATCCGGCCCCCCGGCCTTAGTTTGCCTGCGCCTGATCTATGTTCTGCTCATTATACTGTTGCTTTGGTAATTTATAAAATCGATTTAAAAAAAATAATAATACATTTTCTATTGTAATCCACGTATCTTTCTCACATTTCTGTACCTGCACTTTAAAGAAACATCTTCTGTCTAAAAGCCTTTTGATTTAAAGGCACACGAGGTACGGACCGCACTGAGCAAGTACCGGCGTGATTTGCTGCACGACACAATCGCGCTCGCCTCAGCATTGTTCTCGGGGCGAACGGGTGCTCTCGGAAGAGAGTGAGTCATTGCGAGTCCACGCTGCGCCACTGGAAATTTCCACAGGGGTAGCCCCACAACCTGCACCAGCTCCACACAGCTGCTCTGCGGCGTCTCATCCTTATACCATTAGCCTTTTATAGGACTCTTTTACTACGTTACGCTATCACACTCACCTGTTATTGCTCAGTGTAAATAATGAGCAGGCTACAGCCATCCTACGTGTGTCACTGTATGATGGGATTGGATTAGAGGTTTGTGTTATACTAAACTGAACCATGTGTCCGAATTAGATGATGCGCATCCCACCGAGCAGACGGGATTCTGTCGGCTCCGCGGGTTTTACTGAGCTCACGTGATCAAAGCTGTCAAAGGCTTTTAAGTTTTGGGCGTTTTAGCTTAGCTAACCAGTAGAGCAAAGGCTATTGATCTTACTTTAGAATTCAAAGATGCCTGCCTTTTTATTTAAAAATTTCAAATTAAATGTCATTTAAAAGGCCCATCCGGAAAAAATGGGGCAACGCAAAATATTTAGCAATTATGTGAGAGAGATTAGAGGGTTTTATGCTAAAAGACCTGCGCAGCATTAGCAAATTTAGCACTGGTGGATTGGTGGTTAAGGAAAGCGGATTTAGGTCCGGAAGGTTCTAGGTTCGAGTCCCCAACAAACTCCATTTTTTGTGGCTTTACTTCTGGTAACCAGTTGGTTACATATCATTTGGTCCCCCCTCCCCCTCCCACCCTCCCCATCTCTATCAGTGCAGTCAAAAAAGCAACACCGAGCTGAGTCCAACATCGGCGCGTAAACAAGCAAAGCCTAGCATCTAAAATGAAGAATTAAGTCTTCCTGCCACAGCCCGAAATACGCCCTGATGAAATGGAAACTCGGGTCGCTTTACAGATTAGCATAAGGACTGTTGTAGCTGGTCCTGGTTAAATATATACCGTATTTTCCGGACTATAAGTCGCTCTGGAGTATAAGTCGCACCAGGCAAAATTGAATTTCCCTGACGTTTGAGAGTAGCAAGTGTGAAGATATTGTTTGACACAGTTTTGCTGTGCATCCACATCATTACATTCAGTAGTAGTTCTTCTCGTATTTACTGATTTCTCTGATTTCCCGTCTACTACACTGACCTATTGTCACAGCTAACAACTTCCTGTCAGTTTCCCATACCACCTAAGATGTCTTTTCCTAGTTTTCTGGTAGTTGCTTTTGACTATAGGGTAGACTAGATAAGGGATATGACTGTATAAGATATAGACAAGATCAGAGATGGAATGATATGAGACTTAGCTTAGGGATGTAGCCGTACAAATGCTAATTTGCCGCCATCTGTGGTCCGAACAAAATAAATGGGCCATTACTTCCTCAAAACGTTTAGTTTGTTCAGTATTTCACTTTGTTTTTCTTCGTTTCGAGGCAAACGTGCTTTTTTCCCATCTTCACTTTTTCTAAAGACGCAGAGGTTAATTGCTTTTTATTTTGCTGACTGTGGGTCTGGAGGATCGTTTGAAAGCTAAACACATTCATGTTTATTGGGCTGTAAATCTGCTGTCCCTCACCCAGTGGTTTGTTACGGCAGTCTGTGGGCGCCGGTGAGTTCTATACTAACTTTCTAAGAGTTTACGTTCTGTTCTCTGCGTAATATCTTTATGACCTTATATTGTAGTCATAAAGACAGTTTTCAACATCTGTTTACCGTCAGTATACCTGTGGTGTGTCTATAAAGAAAACCTTTAGGTTGGTCAAATGTGTGTGTGTATGTGTGTGTGTATATATATATATATATATATATATAAAAACATATGTATGTATATATATGTATGTATGTATATATATGTATGTATATATATATATGTATGTATATATATATATATATATATACATACACACACACAGGATGTGTATATATGTGCAGTATATGTGTATATATATATATATATTTATATATATATATAAATACATACACACACACACACAGGATATATGTGTATATATGTACAGTATATATGTATGTGTATATGTGTATATATCTGTATATATATGTATATATGTATATATGTGTATTTATATGTATGTATATATATATATATGTGTATATGTGTGTGTATATATGTATATATATATGCACGTGAGAGTGAGAACAGTGTGAGTTGGTAATGCAGGAAAAAAAAGCATTTATTTAATTAAAAATAATTTTAAAAAATCCAATATCCAATGTTACACCTGTGGCTTATAGACAAGTGCGACCTATATAGGTACAATTATTTTTTTTTCTTTTTAAATGTAGTGGTTACGGCTTATATTCAGGTGCGCTCAATAGTCCGGAGATTACGGTCGATACTTTACATTATCTAACAATTAACTGTACTCTATGTAAAATGTAAAGAGCACTTCTCTCTCTCTCTTTTTTTTCAATCCTAAAGCATCAAGTTGCTGGCTGTGCAGGACCTGTTGGACCAGGAGGCTCTCGAAAAGGTAAGACCTTTCTGATTGGACTGTACTGATTGAAGTGAAATGTCGTCTCTTCTGACATTTGCTGTGGACCTTGTCAGTGGAAGTAAGGTGGAATCTAAAGCAACTAAACGATTTAATCCTTCATTTAAAACATTTTACTTTATTATCCATGGGAAGTTCGTATCTGTGTGTGGTTGAACCCGGGGATAGTCGTGGAGGAAGGAGAAGAGAAACCGATATCATCAGGGCAGTACTTCTCAAATGGTTTAAATTATAAATGATTTATTATTATGATCAAAAAACAACTTAATACTGCAAATTAAAACAATGTTCCTAGTTACTTCTTATATAAGTAACTCGTTACCAGGGAATGTAACTATTACATTATAAAAGTAATTTTATATGTAACAGTTTAAATAAATGGTAATTTAATTATTTATTTATTTATTAATTAATTTAAAAAAAACAATAGATAAGTTTATTGAATAAAATATATACTTAATTGGAATATATGATATAAAAATAAAATAAAATTCCATACATTAAACATATTAGATGTATTGTAACTTTTAGACATTTTTTAGCAGATAGCAACCGGCCAGTGGTTTCTTATAGACCTAGATTGAACCACCACAACTTTAGATCCTGCTAATACTACACTAATGTGTAGTACTTTATTAGTTAATAGTTATTTATTAGTTAATAGTTATTTATTAGTTAAAAACTGCTTACTCAGTGTTAAACCTGAGCATGTTTAGTTGAACACAAGCCGAAGTTCTCGCAGGAATTGAAGATCACACGAAAAAACTTTGTAACGGCACTACCTCTTCTTTTTTTTAAAAAAAAAAAAAGTTTTTATAACCCTCTGCTGCCACCTAGGGGATTGTATTGCTCTGCCTGTCACTGTCATAGAGACGATAAAAACCAATTGTCTCGTTTGGTGCGAAAATTGATTTGAATCTATCGCGGCACACCCGGTGATGTCTCATAACACAGTCGCGTGCCACGGCACTGTGGTTTCTAATTTATGTACTGCCACTCTACGGCCAGGGTAAAATTTAGAACCTCCTTAGAGAAACTGGAAGCTGATGGAAAGTAAAGTAGGTCAGCAGCGGCGTATAAGAGGGAAGCGGGCGAGAGGAGGAAGTACGTTTATACAAACAGCCTACGCCAACTGTTTCTCTTGGAATGATGTCCATATTGGAAAAAGCCACTTTTTCCTCCAGTATCTTATCTGTTGTGACCCCCGCCCGCCCGCCCCACTATTTGAGAAATACTGTTTTGTCAACACACAGTAGTCACACAGAACGGCGTGCTGCTTTTAGACTGTTGTTCTCTATGTGTGTTCTGTCACTAAGGAACCATGTGTCTGCGGTGCATGAGTCATGCTGTGACGGTAGTGCATAATAGGCTACTGTTAAAAAAAACAAACAAAAAAAAAAAAACCTTAATTCACCAAATGTTAACTAGTGACGTGCTGTCTTTCAGTGTCTTGGAATCGCTGTTCAAACAAAAAAACAAACTCACCGTCGATAGAACTTTTGACGGACTTTTATTTGTTTCATTTGAATTTAAACAGCAGCCATGGAGGTAATCGATCGCAGTCCAGTCAGTTTGGTATAAAACGGTCGTAAATGCAAGCTGCAGTCACACTGACCCAGTCAGGAAAAACTTCAGTAAATCCATCCATCAATCCATTTTCATCGCGGGGGTCCAGGAGGTGAACCCTGGGGTTTCACACCAATGACAGACAGAGACATTGCCTCTGGGCCAAAGCTCCACTGCTTCAGTAAATAAATTGACATATCGTGGTATACCATATCCTTCGTCCGTTTTTTTTTTTTTTTTTTTGCAAATCTCTTGTTAAACATTTACAGCAATGGACAACATGCTGCGTTACGTTTCATTCGTTCATTGCATCTGCGCAACCTCTGCAATGGCACTGTGCCACCGCCAGGGGGCGTGCCCCCCATTTTGGGAACCTCTGTTCGGGAAATGTGAGTTCATAATCTACTGACATGAAAGTGAGTAAAGTTGGTGCTGTTTTCGAAAGGGCTTATGTTTTTGTACGATATGCAACACATTTTTTTATTTTTGTCCAACGATTTAAGTGAAATTTACTACGCAGATAATTATGTTAGTGAATACAAGGGATTTGTCCAATTTACCAAATTTGATAATATATAATCAATAAAAGAATGGACTCCATATTGCACCGTACGCCAAGAGAGATAACAGAGTACAAAATATACAGTAGAGCTTATTCTTATTACATGCAAAGTACAAGATACAGCTCTGTTTTGTAGTACCTATGAGTAAACTCAAAGTAAATTACAGACATTTAATATTACATAAATGTAATCACCAGAGGGCACTCTAGGCTTGCCGTACCAGTATCTGCTACTCCTGTACCGCCGAAAATGTACATGTTTGTTATTTTCACACTGACAGCCACTAGAGGGCACTCTAGGCTTGCCGTACCAGTATCTGCTACTCCTGTACCACGTAAAATTTACATGTTCGGTTTTTTTTTTAACACTCATTATGCATCGTTGGGTTGGTGCGACTAGTACTTCGGAGCGACTTATAGTCCGGAAAATACAGTCATTGTATTAGTACATGTTTGTGCAATTTATTTTTATTATTTATTAAACACTCTTTAAGCTCCCGCGGGCCGCGCATAAATAAGTTGGCGGCCTGCATGCAGCCCACGGGCCTTGTGTTTGACACATATGATCTAGGACATAAAAACTTCAGAAGAGTCGGACTTTTTCGGGAGACATAATGATGGACAAAAACTTCCCCCCCCCAAAAAAAATTTTTTTGAGTATAAAAAATATATATGATTATTTAAATATTCGTCATACTGGTATTGGTGCATCCCAAATAATTTTTAAAAACCCCATAATCTCACAAAAAAAAAATCAAATGAGTGATTTATCCACTATGGCACCAATAAAAGATATATAAAAAATTAAATTATTTAACCAGCTGTGCTCAACTCTTCTGGTGTAAATGAACTTTCACACAGTAGAGGATTGAGGTCGACGGCCTTTCACAAATGGAGAGACTGTGTGTGTGTGTGTGTGTGTGTGTGTGAATGCACATCGAGAGAGACTCCTCTTTTCGGTAGTGTGTCCCTCTGAGAGCCTCCCAGGTTAAATTTAGAGCGAGTTACTGCGCACCAAAACAGCAACCTGAGCCTGACGGAACATTTAGTTTAGTGGAAAAACTCTTAAGTGTTTTCTTCCTTCTCTCCAGTTTCATTTTCTGTGTGTGTGTCGTCTCCCTGATGTCATTGGAGGCTTCCTCGTGCCTCAGATGCCAAAGGGTTAATTGAGTTCAGTGACGCACTGGGCAATATTCACTGCATTTGTCCTGATGTATATTTGTCATGCGTGTTATGTATTTGTTAACATTTATATTTTTCTTTCTTATATTTTGCCACAGTTCTGTGTGGAATTAAACCAAGGCACACTGGCCAGTGTAAGGAACTGGAAATGGCCCCGAGGAACGTGGAAGAGTGTTGTCTCCGAAAAACCTGACGGCAAGGTATGTAAAACGCAGACCGAATTCAAAATGAACGTTAAGATGTGTCCTTTCGGTGCCTTGAACTTTAAAAAGTTCTACCAATATATAGTAGAGTCATATTCTATTTTATTTGACCAGAGTATTTTGAGCAAAAATGAAAAGGAAACCTCTATTAAATTAAATTAAATTGAAAAGGGGTTTCATTGAGTATGTATATATATATATGTATGTATATATATATATATATATATATATATATATA